AGTGAAAAACCCATTGGTCACTCCCCAGTCCATGGGGGAAGTTAACAGCAAGAACAGATTTGGACCAGCAGCGCCCACCCCAGGATCCTGCAGGACTCACGGGTGAAACAGCTGAACTGATGACTGTGAGACACAACCTGTCACTTGAGTCTACCCCTCATAACAGGGATGCACAGAGTGGACTTACATGCTATGAGTTTTCTAAAAGGTCCCAGGAGAAGCCTGGAGAGCTGCAAGCCAATAAAGCTGACATCCATACCCAACGATACCAATACAGAGTGGGCCCATGGATGAACGTGGGATGAACGCACAAGAGAAGAGTAGATGTGACGTCTGTGAAAGAAAGTCACGCCTCTCAGCTGTACCAGCGCTTACTGAAGAGTCAGTGAGTATGTAGGCAAAGGAGAGCCAAATAACATAACCAACTTTCATCTCTAAAAGAAACTCAGTAAATCTTACGTTACAGGCTTTTCAAGAAGTGACACTGTCACATAGTAAGCAAGTCCTCACATAAATACGCAACTGGTTAAAAGATAGGAAATAAGGTGTAGGAATCAGCATACGGTTTTTGCAGTTTTGCAGAGGACACAGTCATGAGAGGGCTTGCCTAGGGCCTGTGCCTTTTAATCTAGCCATCAGCAGTTGGGGAAACAGGGTGAACGGTGAAATAATGAATTTTGCTGGTGTACTAAGGTATTCAGGGTAACAGAGAGGAGGTCCAGATGCAAACAATTGTGGGAGGACCTCAAAATGCAATAAGACGGCAGATTAAAACCAGTGGCAATAATTGTAAAATTAGGCACATAGGAAAAACCAATGCTCATTTTACCTGCACAGCGATCGGCTCTGAGTAGGCTAGTGTCAACTCTGCTCAACTCTGCTAGATCAGCTCTGCTCAGCAGTGATAAAAACGTCAAATAGAAGGCTATGAACTGTTAGAAAGGGACTTAGGGCACGCGATACAGAACACATCATTATGCTGCTGCACAAACCCAAGGCTCACTTCATTCTTGGTATATGGCACTGGTTCCCGGTCCCAAAAGGAATATAGGAGAACTGCAAATATTTCAAAAACCATCAGTTAAGAGCAGCAAAGATTATGACATGGTTTCCACGTGGGAGACAACTAAATAAACTAGGTTCCTTCAGACTGTAAAAAAGACAACCGAGTGGGGATAAAATAAATGCCTCTAGACGGACACGTGGCAGGGAGGAGGTGGAGGTGGTGTTGTCTCTTCCAAGGCAGAGGCATGAAGCTAGCAAGCATCAGCTTCAAACCAAGTGCAGGAGCTGTTTCTTCATACAACACACAGCATTATTTACACGAGGTTGACATGTTTACATGGGCTAAAAGTTTACATGGGGTCAAAAAGCGTTCAGATGATTTCATGGGGGAAAGGTGCCGGTTTAATAAACACAAAGCTCTTACCTCTGACTTTTGCTGCAAATCTGTGGGGGCTGCAGGAGCACCCTGGGGCCACATCGCTATTTGCTGTCCCTGGTCTTACCCCTCTTCCCTGTCGCCTCCTCCTGGCCTCTGCTGACTGCACTGGGATGAGTGCTAATTTTTGATCCAGCTACTCTAAACACATGAATGCCCGTGCCTCCTTGTCTGTGAGCAGGCGAGAAGAGGGAGAGGGTGAAAGAGCTTTGCAAAAATAGAGAGTGAGGGCAGAATAAGCGTGCTGCCAAAATCACACGTAAACTACAGAGATTTTCTGAGAGAATTTTGCTTTTCTTTTGATTTTCTGCTTTCCTAAGCTTAACTGTTAGATAGTAGATGATGTATTTTTACTCCCATGCATATGCATCTATTAACTCTCTTCCTCAGGCTGCAGAGCTGGAAAAATTTGCAGTGACCTTCAGTAAAAATGTTCAACAGTTTTGTTATGTTCCTCGTTGGAAATATTTAGGATAGCCACCAGAACTGATTTCACACTAAAATTTAGCTTAACTGGAAATGCTTTCCTCACCTTGATACAGTGAGGAATGATACAGAACAGGAGATTGAGGACTCCTGTGGATACGAGGAGAGATGACAAGCTTTCATCTTAGAAATGATTCACCTCATTTGTTTGGTGTACAATTGAGGAAAATATGTCATCTTGCGGAGTCTGATTTTTATGCAGTTCTTCTCTAACACTATTATCAGATAACAGAGCAAAGCAAGGAATGATTAGTTCAGCAGCTGATCTTATGTACCCAGTAGAAACGGGTCTCACATACTTACGCTGGGTAGGGAAGGCTCAGCAGGGAGGCCACCAAGATCTGAGACAAATTATTTGGGTTCTTTTGAGTGGTTATATAACTGTGGCAGCACTGGTGAATCTTTGCAAAATCTGGTGTCGGATTTATTACAAAAGGTTTGAAGATGCTTCAAAACTTTCCGATGGGACATAAGGGCCCTTCTAAATTAAAAAATAAACAAACAAACCAACCTACTGAAATCAGAGTGTACAGACACGTTTTGACAGCAGTGCCAGCTGCTGCTCTCTCTCCCAGCTGTGCATTCCTTCCCTGCATCCCTGCCTCTGTGACCCTGCACTAACATGGCACAGAGTGCAGTGGCATAGGGTACCAACCCAGGAAATGATGTGGCTGCACACCAGCCTGCCCCAGACCATTGTTATGATGAGCCATACCAGAGCCTGCATCTGGCCAAGTGGGGAAAAGCAGGAATATGTGTGGGATAGCAAAGAGCAGAGACCAGCACAGGCATGGGAACAGGTACCTCAGGCAGGATGTGCGTCAGGACAGATGCATACTTCTGCTGGATGTGCAGCAATGGCCTTAATTATTTTTCCATGGACCCCTCTGGCAAGGTGTGGAAGGACTGTGGGCTGAAAGCTAATGAAGCGGGCAGCTTTCCTTAGAGCTCCTTATCACTCCTGGCTCTAAATTCCAAAAACAGAGTATTAACTCAGTCAGAAGCAGTGTGGAGACTCAAAGTAAAGATATTTTGACCTTCTCTGCCAGTTTTGTTTTTTTTTTCTCTTCTTTTATGTTATTTTATTAAGGAACAGAAGAATAGTAAGCTGTTACAGCTGGCTTTGCTTCTTCCCTGGAGGGCAGCTTTTCCCTTTTAAGTGGTAGCTTGTAAAACAGCGCATACGCAGAAGGACAGGCTGTCTATGCTAAACGCACACTGGGGCTTCTCGCACTTAGCCCTGGAAAGGGAGAAATCCCACAGCGTTATTTCACTTGTAATACATGTATGTCTGCAGTGAGTACAAACACGAACAGCTGTTTCCTTCAAAATCAGTTCAGGTCTCCAGGATTACCGAGTCATTTGGTTGTGTCTGCAAAAGGAGGAGATGAGTGCAGGTGCCTTGTGCCGGACTGACAGCCGGCAGTGGGAAGGGCTCCAGCAATTCCAACCAAACCCACTCGTGTGGGCCCAAGGGGTCATATCACCTCAATTTGCCAATTCAGCCAAAGTCTGGGGAGGTTTTGAGGCGGCCCCGTTTTGACAGGGATCCCGAGGAAAAGCTGGCCCGTTCACAATCTCAGAGGAACTTTTCGCAGATACTCTAGTTAATAAATATGCAAGCACACTTCTTTTTTCTTTATTCTTTATTTCATGTCAACATTTTTAAAAGCATTCACCGTGAAATCCAAAGTTTTAAACAATATTCCAGTACAAAAATATAGTCCCTGAGATAAAAACTTCCATACTACTACCTCCAAATAAATATAATGACATCAGACACATTTAAATGATTTAATACAAACAGTACAGAACTTTTTAAAAATCATTGAGTTGAAGTTAAGTCAGTGCAATAGAGTCAGTCACATTTCCTGGAATTACTATGTAGCCTAGCCTCCTAGGCACTTCAGTGCATAACAGTAATCAACATCAATAAGTCATCAAGGCCCCAGTTCAGAAAAGTGCTTCGGCATTTGCTTATCTTTAAGCATGTCTATTTGCTTGAATTAGATTTACATATGCTTAGAGCTAAGCAAATATGAATGTGTTCTCCTAGGTAGAAATACTTCCCCAAATGGATACCTGCATTTTCATGCCAAATAGGTGATGATGAGGCTGATCTTATGACATGCCTCTATCAAGACGCCATGAAATGGCTAGCTGGGGACGGTATGGCATCAGTTCGGTATTTCCACATGGAAACTGGGTAAACATTGCCTCCTTTTGTATTTTCCAGTCAATAAATATATAACAGATAGACAGGATTTTAAGACAAAGTCATTTCTCACACAGCAGTAGGAAGTATAAATACTCTGATCGTTGTTTCTTTATAAATAATTATTTAAAATACTTAAATATTAATAAATAAGTGTATATAAAAGCTCCATAAAAATGTTTCAATGAAAAAAATGTGCATCATACTGCAACTGGTACAATAGCTCAGTATAAAAGGCTATATGATGTTATTAACACTTGCATCTCCTCTGAGACTGGCTCCTTTTTCTTTTGAAAGAAGTTGGGGTCTCCACTAGTGTTTGTAGGACGCTGAACAGCTCATTCACAGCTTTGCGTTGGATTTTCAGATCACTCATCTGTTTTGAGTAAGAAACAAAGAGAATGAAAGTCATGCCAAAAGCTGTCATTATTTAATGCTCACATCCTACAGGCTATGCAGTTAATAGGGTAAAACAGATAGAAATCTGCCATCTTCAGTTGGTCTACTAGCCAGTTCCTACAACAAAGAGCCACCTTTTTACAGATAATGGTTTTCCAGTTTCTGTGTTATTCTGCAACAGGCTACAGACCATCAATATTCTGTGAAATGGAGCTACTTGTTAATTCTTGATATGTTCCAATGTTTTCCGAGTTACCCACGGGCAACTAACTCATCCAGAGTATCGGCTGCAGGCCTCTGTGCAGGGCTTGGTTTCTGTCATTAGCATTCACTCATTAAGTCATTTTGTAAGTGTCTTTGAAGCTTACAGAGACATGCTGTAACTGATTTCAAATTTTCAACCTGATTTAGATAACAAAAGGCTGTGAAATTGTTAAAATTTGACTTAAGGTTAAAACTGGTAAGTGTGCTGAATGACTTTTAAGTCCTTTAGTTTTTAGATCATTTAATCCCATAAGCTGCTAATTTAGAGAGCCCTTCTAAAAACTTAAGTATAAATGTTAACTATAAATATACTCTGGGGCATGGAAGTAGTACATTTCTCCATTAGAGAATTTAGAGTGTGCCTGAATGCTTACAAACCATCTTCACTGCATCAAAAAGTGAAATAATTCTACATTTGACAGTCCCCATTGTAATAATTTCCTTTATTAAACAAAAGGAAAAAAACATAGATAAAAACTGAACTGAAAGTTTTTTTTTTTTCCTAATCTGGGCAACTGAACCTCAACCTTCATTCTGGGTTTTCTCTCTGTTTTTCTATTTTGAAACCACTGTTGACACTAAATGGAAACTGGCTCAAAAAGTCTTATTTCTTCCTATTAGTGCAGAATAGCAGACGAAAACTCAGCATGCCCTCACTGGGACCTGTCCTGCCTGGGGTTAGGGGGTTGCTACCTAGACCCGTGCCTCATTAAACACATGCCAGGGCCCGCTGGCCTGGGCAGTGCAAGTCACCATATGCGCCTCGCTTTTGTAATGTAGCATGTAACATGGACACCATGGAGGGCAGCAAGAATTAAAATTACTTTGGGCCCTGCGGCTGCCCCTCCACCCCCATGCCCACCCTGGGGTGGTGGCAGAAGCCGTTGAGACGCAGCAGCCCTGCACCACGGCGCTGTGCTGGGCTCCAGCAAAACCCCGGGAGACCAGCCCTGAAGCCGAAGCCCCACACTGCAGACCCACTTCCACCTGCTCAGCTGGAAGCATCAGGTTTTCCGATGGGAACTGGTTTGAGCCAATGGGAGGTTACCTGACTGGTTAACAAACCGTTGCTGTCTTGAGTCAGACTCAAAAACCTGAACTGGAAAACGCAGTCATGCAAGCCTTTGAAAGAGAGACAGTTCCTTACCTGAAGCTTTGCCAGGTCCATGATGTCCTTCAGCTTCTTTAAGCCATCAGGAAGGCTGTTTTTCAAAGTGAAGAGCTCCTCAGATATGTGTCTGACATGCCCCTTTGACTTGTCAGTGTTTTCAAGCATTTCCAGGTACATGGAAACAATCTGGCTCAGTATGATCCTTTTTTCATTTCTCTGTTGAAAACAAGTCAAAAGGAAAGGGCTGTGAGTGCCCATCAACAGGAAAATGATGGAAACTAAAATCCAGCATCTAGGGGTTTTCAGTGCAGCTTAGAACAAGATCATGTTAAAGATGCTTTATGTCTTCTCCTGGACTTGTCTGTACCTCTAGACCAGCTCATGGTGTGGCATAAAGCACCTTGATCTTTATGGGGAGCATCTTTATGGGAAAAGTTTCCTCTCTTGCAAGCTACTAAAGCAGTCCCCACTCGTGTTCATTCTGTCCTGGCTGATTACGCTGGGCTGGGGAGTTGCTTCATACCAAAAGTATCTTGTAAAGCTCCTGAGATGCTTTGTCATATTTGGTTCTGACTCACCTCTGTCCAGTTTTTCAGTTTCTCTGTAAAAATAGGTCCACCATCAGCTACATCTGAATGACTTGAGTTCTGCAATGGACAATATACATATCTGTTAGATGAACAATATTTATCACAAGGCAAATAATAATCTCTATTCAAAAAGGAAGTATAACAGTGAAAAACACAAAAACATGATTTTTGCACTCCTGGATCTCAGCTATTACAATGCTTTTACTTCTGAGAAATGTTGTGAATACATTCTCTAAGTATCAGCTCACATTGGATGACTGCATAGTACCAGAAATGGCATTTGTGTGCTTTTCAATGCCTTCTCCACCTATAATTCATCTGAATAGAGACATTTAACAGCTTGTATTTTGCCAAATGCTCTTTGCAAGTTTTGATAATGACAGCTGAAAAGAAATCTTAATGGGCACAGCAACAGGCTAGAAAATAGTTAGACTTGGTCTTGGCTTGTTTTCTTATAAGTCTAAGCCACACCAGCACCAAGTCCATAGGCTCAAATGTATCCAGCATTAGTAAAATCTTGTATGGAACAAGGATGAATTAATTTTATTACAAAACTACAGCTTCAGTCAGACTGGTAGGTTTGTAGCAGTAGTGGGCTACCAAGAGGCCTGCCAGGCCTGAGTTTAACAATCAGGTGTTAGCTGCACGCTGCGGCAGGTTCTAGGAAACACAGAGCAATGCAATTCTCCTACCGAGGCATGGTAAAATGAATCATTTCCTTTTCTCTGTGTGTTTGTGTGTGTGTGTGTGTGTGTGTGTGTGTGCGCGCGCGCAGGCACGCGCACTTTTTTTTTTTTTTTGGTATACAGCAGACACTGTTTCCCTTTTGGTCGACTCAGTAATTTAAATATAGCAAGTGCAATGGGAAAACTTGCAGGCTGGTGGAAGCCCTGTAGGCTGATTGGCCACCCATGCTAAGCACCTTACTGAACCTTGTTTTGCAGCTCTGAGAGATGCTGAGCACCTGCTGGGGAGATGAGTTTTTAATTTCAGTGCAAAAAGCTCACTGTCTCTCAGTATCTGTCCAACTTGGTTATATTTCTGTGAAGAATCTCTCAAATATATAACAAATTTAGGGTATACTTCCAATAATATACCCAGTCTCCTAGCAGTTTGAAAAGACTGAATAAGTATCACACTAGCTTCTGAGGTCATTCCCTCAACTACTGTATTTCAACTGTCATATAAACAAAAATTCTGGAGTGCTGGAAATAGGAGCAGACTCTTGTGGTTACTTTCATGCATTTAAAGAAACAAAAAAAAATTATTTTAAGAATAATAGCTATTAATTAGAAGCAACTATATTCTAGATCTCATATCTCTATAATTAATCCCAGTTGAAGTCTTCCAAATGAAAATAGGTGAGTTAATATTAGTTATCAAAATTCAGTCTGAAAAGAGGTAATAGTACTTCATATTCCCACACCATGAAAATAGGATGGGTGGAAGATGCTAAAGAATAAGCAGTAACAACCAGCTTTAAGCAACATATTAATAATTATTATTATTCTAATGTTAAATAATTTAATTAATTCAATATTATTAGTAATGACTATAAAAAGCACCAGATGCACCGATTAAAACAAAAGTCCTTCCTCTACTCTAATTTTATTGGTAACTAGTACTAACTACCCCACTAACCTCATTAACCTAAAACTAAAGATGCTTCAGTGAATTGCATCTGAATTGCTTCAAGTTTTCCTTCTTACAAAGCAGCCCTTGTAACCAGTGGCTCAGTGGAGCTGGGAGAAGCTCTTATGAAGAAATGAATGTCCCTGAAATAGACTTGAACTGTTACGTTACTTAACAATATTGAAAAAACGAATCATGGTAGTGAAAGTGATTAGCAAAACCAAATAAGCTGCCCATACTGTAAAAAAGTGATACAGTAGAAAAGTTAGTTCTATGATTACCCTCTATTGATACAGTGCTGCATTAAGGTCTATGACAATCAGTGTTCAAGTCTGGATAATATCTAAAGCATAAGCAGAAGTAAAAGAGAAATGCTATAGAAGACTATACTTACAAATTCAGCTTTCAGTTTGTCTATATCATTTTGCAGATTAGCAAGGATTAAGCTGCTTCCAAAACGTCCAAAATAAATCGTGATGATAGAGAGAACAAGCAAGCTGTAAGTCTGGCAAGTCATCTTCTCGATGATGGTTCAGTTAAAACGGTCAGATAATTTCTGTGAGATGTCAGACCTACAAGCAGTGAGCTTCAGCTTCTAATAGTTAAATCTTCTATTAGAAGAAAGTAGACGAATGAACTTCATCTGCCTGTCAGTGATATTTATACCTGGTCTTGAAATTTTTTATTTCGTCAGCACAGGCTGTGTATATTTAGACAAGATAGTGTCAGATAAGAAGGCTTCGTATTTGGCTAATCGAGGGAATCCCTCGAAAGCATCTTTCTGAAAGCATGGTCCTGGAAAATTTTTAAGTGGTTCATCAAATGGTAACATTTACGTGACAGGTTCTGAAGTTTCTTTTACATGTGATTGGGAAAAAGGGGGAAATTATGATATGAGTATTCATTGTGGCTCAAGCATATTCTTACAAGCCATCTAAAAACAAATCATATAATGTGGTTAAGGGGTCAGTGCAACTTCTTTCTGGCATTCTTTTAAAGTAACCACTAAGATTATCACTGAATTCTTCAGAGTCACACAGAAATTTAAATATTCTCCTTTTGGCTGTCCTTTTGTGAAACACCAATTGCTTTCTTTTCATAGTCTAAAATGTATTTATGCCTCTTTCTCATTCTTCACCTCCAGATTCAAACTAGACTCAAGAAAAGTGAGGCTCCAACAACTGATGCAATGATGCATTGTGTTAAGCCTTAGCCCCTGTAAATTCCTCCATGGCTGTCTACGGTCTGCAAGAGGAGAGTGCTTAGTATTCAGGACACTGCCCTGTGCTTGGCAATAATTGATGTTTCCCACCTGTCCATTCATTTGCACTTACGTATGTAGAATATGAAATCAGAAAGAGATAGATGGAAGAAAACCAGTGGAAGAAGAGAGACAGAGAGAGTCTCAGGATGGTCTCCTAGCGTACACAGACCCCTGCAACAACTCTCCTTCTGGGGCATGGCTGAGGAAAAAGTTATTGTATAGGAACTGAACCCTGTTTAGTGGATACTGTGGGAAAAGAGCTCACTGCAAAGTGTCTTTTGAAGAAACCAAAGTAATTTTAGGTTGTAGCATGTGAATGTAGGATGGGCAGAAGAAGAGAGGGAATCCAGAGGAAAAAAGAAAGATCAGGAAGAGGATGGATATGGGCTTAGTTCACGGAGATTATACTGGAGGATGTCTGTAGCTTATCAGAAACAGATGAGAATCAAATTATCCCCCAGCCAGTGTGATCTGAGCTCTCCATCACAGTCTGGGCCTTCAGGTATTCCTTGTGAGAGCACGCCTGATTTCTCAGCAGCATCTCCTGTTTTGAGAAATGACCACTAGTTCCGTCAACAGTTTTTCATCTGCAGCTTGAGAGAGGACCCCCATTTACGGAATAGGTCTAAGCCGCTACCACTGCTGCAAACAGGCAATTGTCATTTTGCAGTGACAACAACAAAATCTCACCAGCAATTGCAGCCCCAAAAGCTACATGATAAAATTCCCTGGGAATAGTAGCAGAGACAGATGCCACACATCGCACAACAGATGCAGCACTGCACAAACGTTATGGCTTACACATGTAAAGGTGCTTAGAGCAGTAGCACTATGCAATGCTCGTCTTGGTTTTAGCCTGGAAAACTAAAACCTGATTAAACAATGACTTGACTGCTGGAGATGTCGTTGCATAGGTGAGGTGATAATGCTATTCAGCACTATTCCATGATGCTTCAAAGCACTGTAAAAGATACAAAGTCATCGTGATAGAAATTTGAAGCAGACTCACAGATGTGCAACACAGTGAAGAGCAATGCACACCTATCGGTGATGTGGAGATATGCAGGTTGCTTTGCAAGGCAAACACAGTCAAGTGGCATGTTGTAGTAGGTAGGCCAAATGTAGGTTTATATATCTAGGAAAACTTAGAAGATTTTATAAGGTGGGAGATATGCTAAGGCACTCTGCTGGCCATGAGCCCATGGAGTCAGGCAGGCAAAATATGTGAATCCAGAAGCTGAAAGCTGAAGTCAACAACGTTGCCCTCCTTTGCAGAGAACTATTTATCCATAGTGACTGTGCCAGGCTAGATTGCCTTGTTAAGCCTATCTGACATCCATCTATCAGCTGCAGCAGTTTGTACCTCTCTGATGACCTCACATTGGTCTCTGATTACTGAACAGAAATGTTTTGCAAAGCTTTTAAGTATAACAAGAGGTTGAAATATCAGAAAGAAAGGGTTTCTTGACCTTAGCTTTTGTATATGCTAATGAAGAGCAAATTGGTAGTTTGGAGGGCGGGGGGAGGTTATACGGTGCATTTCATCATGAGATCTCCTCACCTTTCAGAGGAGGCCACTGCCAGATATCCAGTTTTGCAGACAAGAAAATGGAAGCACAGAGCAATGGTATGACTCATGATCATTCAGCATCTAGGAAAGATAAATCTAGGAACACAAAAGAGGTGTCTACCGACACATTCTATCACCCTTCTCCAAACCAACAAAAACTAGGCAACAGCTAACAGCAGGTGACCAGAACATGAGGGTCCTAGTGTCTCAGGGATCCTACTTCCCTCCCACCTCTGTTCAGCTTCCCATTCCCCCAAAATGTGATGAGACAGATCAACATTGTCTAGTAAATATCTTGTTGCCCAAGGACTATAAACAGTCAAGTTGTGAGGAAAACTCAAGTCCAGGTAGCTCCTCTGAGCTGCCTTTCCTGGTCGTTCAACATGGTTACAAACAAAATAGGATGTATTCTGCAAATGTCTGCCCATTACTAGACAAAGCCAAGAGCCGAAGACCATCCAATTCTTCATACATGTTCTTTAGTAAATATCTGTTGAGTGCGCATTGGATGGGACTGGGCACTTACCAGCAGTACAAGCTCTTTACCTGAGTACTAGTCCTAATCTAGCTAAAACAGATCTCAGAATATGACTCAAATCTTGTGCCATGTATCCTTTGAGGGGTCCTTGCATGTAGCTCAGCTGTCACAGCTGGGTTGTCATCTGTTCCAAAAGCAGTAGGAAATGAAACCAAGGCATTTTTTCATTGTGCTGCCTGGAAGTCATCCGACTGTTCATGCAAAGCAGAGGTTTCACACCTTTTTGTTCAGGCAACACCTTAAACCCATTACCCGATGATGTCCTTGCAAAGTAATGTCAGGTTTCACTGTGATCACTGATTAAAGGTTTTTCCCTTTCATTTTTTATTTTATGAGAATTCTTTAGAGCGCTGGCCAGGTGGTTAACAGGGAGCTGCACTTAACAGTCCAGATCTCTTCCAGACTCATTTCTGTGAAATGCAGTGAAATGAATACACACCATGACAAACTACTGAAAAAAAGAAAAAAAGACCACCCGTCCCCTATAGCTATGGATATGTTTCATCAGTACTACACACAGTAAGAGATGGAGCTATCTACTCCTCACAACCACTAGGTTACTGTGATTTAAAGGATGTTTCCGATAGCTGATGATCACTAGGCTAAATTTCTTTAGGGAAAATGTTGTGCAGAAAACAGCTATTTTGTTTTATAAGAAAAAAAATCTGAGTTAGAAAATGTGTTCTCTTTCTGAGGCAGACAGGTAGAGTTTTTGGGGAATTCTACAAATATTTTTTTCCACTTGAAAATGCTGATCTCTTGAAACAGAAACTTTTCATGGAAGAGAGCTGATTTCATCAGTTTTTCTTTTTGTTATTTGGGGGAGGGGGAAGAAGTTCTGAAATTCTCAAAATGATCTGTTTTGACATTTTCTAAGCAAAATGTTACATTCTGCACATTCCAAGCACATTCTAGAGATGTTGTTGCTTGAGAGAACCGGAAAACCGATTTGTACCAACCTGAAATAAAGTAGAAGGAAGACCTTTTGGCTCTATTATATACTGTTGTTTGTATGCAATCGGCAATGAGAAGATCTGTACTATAGATTCCTCTTTCCATTTGCAAAATTAATTCATGGGTCTTTCAAAGAAAGGGAAGAAAGTGGAAGTTAATACTTGGTGGTGGTAGACACCTAGACAGTGATATCTGAAGAGATAATTAGCTAATGGATACAACTTGAAGTGATTAGAGTGTAAGTTCAAAATTATTGAAAACATGGTAGTCTGATTGACACAAAGCACATTTGTCATACTTCTCCTTCAGAGTTTCAATGTAGTGAGCCTATGTGGGATAGAAAAAGGTTTACGAGTTGGGAAACCCTTCCACACGAAACACTAATAATTATTTTCTGAATTAGTAAGAGGCAAAAACCGCCCCTTCATGGTCTGGCTACTCACCTACCATGTAAAAAAGACAAGTTTGATCCTTTGCCTTGCCTGACCGTGTTCAAATAGAAGACTTGAACGCACATCCTCTTCTCCCAAAGCAAGTGTCCCGGTCATCTGTGAATAACGGTCCTGGGTTCATTTCTCACCCACACTGCAGTGGCTTTTTTGACCACTTCCAAATATATCACTGTCAGTTCTGTACTGTCTAGAAAGGCATATATTCAAGAGTCCAGTAAAAATATTGTTGTGGAGTGTGTGGAGATGACAATAAAATATTTATCTCAGGAGGTCTATCACCATTAGCAGCAGTAAGCTGCCTCATTTGTAGAAATAAATATAATATTGTCTTCCCCCCCTTTCTTTGAAAGACCCTTCCACTAATATGTGTGAAGAATTTGGAGAATGGAAAGAGGGATCTATAACATACATTTTCTAACTGCCGATTGTGCATGCACAGAAATATGTAACGGAGACCAAAGGGTCTTCTTTGTATGTTGTGCCATATTTCAGGTTGGTAAAAATTGTTTTTTCAGCTCGCCAAAAAACACAGTCTGGATATGTGAATCATACAGAGACTATGAGTGACCAGCGTGAGCTAGCCATCAGAAAGGCAGATGCAAAACTAAAATGTGATTTTCCTTGCAGTAAAGTAAGGAAAACAATGATGGCATTTTTAAAGATGGTGATGGAGAAACATAATTTGAATTCTTACTCCAGAATTCTATCGTTTGGAGTATTTTGACATATCTCACTCCTGATTAAAATAGAAGAAAATTCAAAATATTATTCAATTTTAGTTAAAGATGATGTCAATGAAAAAGCAGCACAACTGTTGACATAACAGCAGCCCAAACCAAGGCTAGCGTGGCATAAA